GAGCTGTGGGGTGTTATAGGGCAGTGTCCTCACTGTCCCTGTGAGCTGTGAGGTGTTACAGGGCAGTGTCCTCACTCTCCCTGCCCATCTGAGCTGGGTCAGAGGCTGCAGGAGCTGTGTTGTGTTATAGTTTTCCCAGGCTGTTTGTGACTGGAAGCTGCTCCAGGACTTCTCCATGTGTATTCCAGGGGCTGCCATGAGGGACACGACCCCACCCCACCTCCGTGAGGTTCCACCCATCCCTTCCCCCTTGACACACACACACACTCTCCCCACAAGGTGGTTCTGACCCAAGAATCACTGATCTGGTGTCTAACAGGAGAGCCTGAGGGCAGTCTGGGGGATGATGAGTTTTTGGGCCATGATCTGATGGTTAGATATGATAATTAGCCATTATTATAAGGCTGTAACAGCTCTTCTGTGTGCTTGTGCTGAATGTCCTTCATGCACCTTGTGGCCTCAATAACGCCCTGCTCTCCACCCAACTTCACCAAACAGTCTGGGGAATTTTTCCTTTGGTTTTTGGCCTCACCAGGTGTCCCTTTTCCCTGCAGGGGAAGGTGGCCCAGACCGCCTGCATGTCGGCCTGCAAGCACCTCTCGACGTCGCTGCTGCAGCTGCTGCTGGAGGCCGAGGTGAGGCAGCTCACGCTGGGGGCCCTGCAGCAGTTCAACCTGGACGTGGAGGAGTGTGAACGTGAGTGCCCTGTCACCCCCTGTCCCCTTGCCTTGCCTTGCCTTGCCTTGCCTTGCCCCTTCCCTCTGTGTTTTGGATCTATAGAACCATAGAATCATAGAATCATAGCATCATAGAATCATAGAATCAGCTGGGTTGGAAGGGACCTCTGAGATCATCAAGTCCAACCCTTGATCCAACCCCGCCGTGGTTCCCAGCCCATGGCACTGATGCCACATCCAGTCTCACCTTAAAAACCTCCAGGGATGGAGAATCCACCACTTCCCTGGGCAGCCCATTCCAATGGCTGAGCACCCTCTCTGGAAAGAAATTCTTTCTAATGTCCAACCTAAACCTCCCCTGGCCCAGCTGAAGACCCTGAGCCCTCTTGTCTTGCTGATCTTTGCCTGGGAAAAGAGACCAACCCCCCCTGGCTCCCCCCTCCTGTCAGGGAGTTGCAGAGAGTGAGGAGGTCTCCCCTGAGCCTCCTCTTCTCCAGGCTGAACAGCCCCAGCTCCCTCAGCCTCTCCTCACGGGAATTGTGCTCCAGTCCCTTCCCCAGCCTCGTTGCTCTCCTCTGGACCTGCTCCAGGACCTCAATGTCCTTCCTGAGCTGAGGGCCCAGAACTGGACACAGCACTCCAGGGGTGGCCTCACCAGCACCGAGTCCAGGGGAAGAATCACTTCCCTGGACCTGTTGGCCACACTGTCCTTGGGGCAGAGGAAGCTCAGCAAGTTCTGAGATTTCAAAGTTTTGGTCTTCCTTTTCCTCTTTATTGCTGTGCTGGTGCTCTGCAGAGCATCCCTGCTTTTTGAGGTGGAGTGGTTTAAAAAATAGGAGACATTTGAGTGCAGAAGTTTATATTTAGGACTCTTTAGGAGAAGCTCTGGAGCCAGGCTGGAAGAGCTGGAGGGGTTCCCCTGGAGATGAGAAGTCTCCAGGGAGAGCTGAGAGCCCCTTGCAGGGCCTAAAGGGGCTCCAGGAGAGCTGGAGAGGGACTGGGGACAAGGCATGGAGGGACAGCACACAGGGAATGGCTTCCCATTGCCAGAGGGCAGGGATAGATGGGATATTGGGAAGAAGAAACCCTTTGCTCTGAGGTTGGTGATGCCCTGTCCCAGGTTGGGCAGAGAAGCTGTGGCTGCCCCTGGATCCCTGGAAGTGTCCAAGGCCAGGTTGGACAGAGCTTGGAACAACCTGGGCTCCTCAGAAGTTCTGGTTCTGTTCTGACCTCGGCCAACCGTCTTCTTTTCCTGCTGCAGGGATTGTTTTGCTCACAGTGAAACCTTTTTGCAAACTCAGTGTTATGGGAAAAAAGAGTCTTTGGGACAAACTGACAACATCTGCTCAGAGGTGTGTGTGGAGCATCATGGTGGTTTTGCTCTCAAACCTGCTCATTTTGGGTCATCTGGTGCCCACCTGAATTAAGACCGAAATCCTGAGGTTGCCTCGAAGTTGCTGCTTGTCCTACTCAGTAGAAGGGTTAAAAAAACAGAGCTCAAAGCAGACAAAATACTTTTTTTTCCTCCTATTTTTATAATTGAGCTAAAGCAGAGTGAACACACTTGTGCACAGGCTCCTCTTTGTGAGAGGGATGGATTTATTAATGGGATTAGTGTTGGGATGGATTGGTGGCCGTGGCTGGTGCAAACCCAGAACTTGATAGACCTGATAAGAAGTTCAGGAAATCTTTGCTAATGTATTTTGGGGACCATTTTTTTCCCCCCAAATATCCACTTTTTTGGCTTGGTTGAGGTGGAGATTGGGATGTAACTTGTTAATCATAGAATGAAGGAATGGTTTGGGTTGGAAGGGGCCTTTAAAGCTCATCTCATTCCAACCCCCTGCCAGGGACACCTTCCACTAGCCCAGGTTTCTCCAATCCCTGTCCAACCTGGCCTTGGACACTTCCAGGGATGGGGAATGACTCAGTGCCATCACCTGTGTTGGTTCCATCATCACCTGGCCCTTCCCACTCTCAAAATCCCTTCTTCCACCCTTTATCAAACACGTGTTTCCCTTTGGCTGCACCCACCAACACCGAGATTGAAATTCAGTGCTCAGAAACATCCCCCAGCAAGATTTGTGGTGTTTCTAACGAGCATATTTTTATTTTTTAATGTCCATTTCCAGTTTTCCAGCCCTCAGCCGAACAACCTGGGAGAAAGATCCCTGGTTAATGAGTCATATCCCAATCCTGCAGTTATATCACGTGTCACAATGAAGGCAGGGCCTTATTTTTCTTTCAGCAACCCCAAATTCTTCCTGTCTAATTTGGGGACCCATCAGTTCTTTGGGAGCAGATGAATTCCAATCAGTGCCCACAGAGGGACAGGAGATGTAGCTGGAAATAATGGGACCCATTTGTCATTAATAATTCCCTCTGTTTTGGCTGCAGATCCCGGCAGTTTTCTGCCCCATCGGGAACAGGGATCACTCAGCAGCAGCTCTTCCCTGCTGCAAGGAAAACAGATGGCATTTAATTCCAGGTTCAAAAGCACAATTCCTTAAATTCCAGTTGTTTTTGGAGGCAAGACCAGGAGCACTCAGACCTTGAGGAGCAGGTGACTCCAACCTGGGACAGGTGACCCGCTCCCCCATCCCGAGGTGCCGGAATGGAGACGGATTCCGGAGCTGGAATCTTCCAATCCATCACTGTCAGTCCCGGAACATTCAACCCAGACTAAGCCTTTTTCTTCCTTTTCAGCAGTAAAAACGTCTGGTGTCTTTGCTGACACCGGGAATCATTTTACTTCTCTTTTTTTGGGGCCGCAATTCCTCAAGTTTTTCATGTCAGGATGAGCCAATTCCCAGAGTGAACTGGTGCTTTCAAAAAATATGTTTCAATTTGATTTTTTCTTGGTTTTTTTCTCGTTTATTTTTTAGTTTTTTATCTGAAAGCACAGGTGTGAATCTCAGCATCTTTATTATACCAGCTTTGAATCTCAGCATCTTTATTGTACCATATTTAACTTCATGCCTTTCCCTCCATCCTCTTCCTCCCCCCAGATCCCCAAATCTTCCTTAGTTTATTAATTTTATCATATTAAAATAGGATTTCAGAGCTGTTTGGAGCACTTCCAGTGAGTGCTGTGATGTGGGAACGAGGCTACAGGGTTTTGATCCTGGAGTTTATCAGGCTTTTGTTTAAGTTTCTTCTGATGCCAGAGGAATAATGTGATTAAGAGAGGGGTGAGGCAAATCAATAGAAGGACTTATTTGTATATTAAGAAGAGTTTGTAGGTGGTGAAGATATTTTTCTGCATATTAGAGGCAGATATGAAATGCATTACAGGAAAATGGGTTTATATTCACAATCAACAATAATAGAGGTGAAAAAGGTGGGGATTTAGGTGAGGGACAGGACACAGGCAATGGCTTCCCACTGGAAAAGTGAAGATTTAGATTGGATATTGGAAATAAATCCTTCCCTGTGAGGGTGGTGAGGAACTGGAATAAATTTCCCGGAGAAGCTGTGGCTGCCCCTGAATCTCTGGAAGTGTCCAAGGCCAGGTTGGACAGGACTTGGAGCAACCTGGGCTAGTGGAAGGTGTCCATGCCCATGGCAGGGGGTGGAACTGGATGATCTTAAGGGTCCCTTCCAACCCCAACCATTCCATGATTCTGTGATTAGTTTTCCCAGACTGTCCCAAATACAAGATGAACCCAGTTTGGATGAGCTGCATGGGTGGCTTTAAAGAACATCTTTCCATCATGGACAAGAGATCCTGATGCCTGTACAAGGACACAGTTCAGCTCATCCCTGGGACCTCTCAGACCCTCTGTTTTCCCAGTAGGTTGCAGTTCCCTGGGAGGACGAGAGGAGCACATCCCACATTCCTTCCTTCCCACCTCTCCGCCTGTCAAAACCCAACCCTCCCTGGGAAACAAAACTGCCTTTTCCTGCTGTTAAAGTGGAGTGGGGTGATCTGTGCTGACAGCAGAGGTGGTTTCCCATCTTCCCAGAGCTGCTGTTTGTGCTCTTGGAAATGGGAAGGCAGATTTATGGGGGCTCCAAGTGACCACGGGCACAGAACTGGGAGCTTCTGCTCCACGGCTCTACGACCTTCCCGTGCTTGGATTGATCCTCCTTTATTTCTCCCTGAATTTATACCACCTTCATTTCCCTCAGCTGACCTTTCTTAGAGGTTGCAGAGCACTCAGAGTAGGAAGAGGGTTATTCCTGGTGAATTAGTGCCTATAAATATTCATGGAGAAGCTCCTGACCCCATCTGTGAGCTTCCGAAAACACGTACCCTTTCTGTCAGGATGCTGATGGGAATATTTAGACAATGCTCCCTACTTTAGCACAGGTCTTTGCAAGCCTGACTTGGGCAAACCCTGGGAGTTTGTGTGATGTCAAAGAGGAATTATCTCTCTCCAGCATTTTGACTTTGCCCCTGAGCTGAGAGGTCCTGCTTCCTTCACTCCCTCCAACCATCACATGATTGTGGGCCCTTCATCTGTCCTTTTATCTGTCACCTTCTCTCCTTTTAGCTTCAGTATTTCCCTGTTTTCCTTCTATCTCCTTTGAAAACCTGTTACTACTCCTGTGGTGTCCCCTCAGCCTCTCCTGTCCTTGTGTCTCCAAATTCTGCTCTCTGCTACAACATTTTGAAGATGTTTCTTACCAGGAGGGTGGGGAGGCCCTGGCACAGGTTGCCCAGAGAAGCTGTGGCTGCCCCTGAATCCCTGGAAGTGTCCAAGGCCAGGTTGGAGCACCCTGGGCTAGTAGAAGGTGTCCCTGCTCATTGCAGGAGTTTGGAACTGGGTGATCTCTCTTCCAACCCAAACCATTCCATAATTCTCTGATTTTGGATACTGTCCATCTCCAACACCTCCCCGTGTTCTACTTTGTTACCAGGATGTGAACTGGTATTTATATCCCCATCTTCAGAGTCCTTGGCAACTCTGTCAGGAGAGGTTGCCTCTGTCCACCCCTGATTTTGTTTGAGGAATTTTAGGAGCTCCCAGTTCCTCAGCTCTGCACCACCTTCCCTTCCCACCTGTCGTGGACACA